ACTCAGGTCCTTGAGGAACATCTAGCCGTGAGGCCTGTGCTCAGACACTCACTTCTGGAGGAAATTCCATCCCTGCAGCCTGCGCTGTGATACTTGATGCTGGAGTAATTTCTGACCCTTAGGGTTATTCTCAGATGCTCGGTACTGGAGCCTCCATCCCATAGGGTTGCCAGGTGGTTGAAACAAAAACACTGAACACTCCCCCCGTCCCACCCAACACCAGGAAAAAATTCTGTTGAAGAAAAAAAAAAGGGGGAGGCGACCAAAGTTGTTGAGCAAAAAAAAATAAATAAATAAAATAAAAATAAAACAGCATTAAGAGTGAGTGCAAGGCTAGGCCGTGCAAGTGTAGCCGCGTGTACGGAGTTCAGACTAAGGGAGATTTAAAAATGGTGGCGCCCGGGAACATGCAAATGAAGCGTGGGATATGTAAATCCTGGGCTTCATTTGCAACTCCGCTTGCCCTCATTACCCTACCTAGCTCGAACTAACGAGCTAGTGCAGACATACCCTGGATGAGGAAGGGAAGGTTGGGCACGACTCACTGGGGAGTATGTGCAGTCTCTCACTATTGCCCCCTAGGCTGATCAAAGAGTTAAGTCAAGGTACCCAATATTTAGAGACAGAAATGAACCATCTATGATACATACCACACTTATCTTACACAACACAATAATGACACATTTGGTGCCTCCCCTTGTACTTTCTTCCAGAGCATTCACTGTCCATTGTTCTGCTTTCACTCTTGTTGTTTCAAACTATGTTATCGTGTACTCAGCTGGGTGTTCCTGTATTGTCCTGACTGCATGTAGTTACATATTTCATGTGCTGCTAGCAGTGTTGGCAGTTCTAGTGCACTGACTTGCAGACACACATTTGCTTTTGACACGGCTTGTCTGTTTCTCATAATATAAGTCTTGCTTACTTAGTTCAAGCACTAGGCCCATGCTTCAACCTCTTCTTTGTCCCACAGGGGACAGTGGGGGATGGGGGGGGGAGGAAAGGGTCAGGGGAAAGTTATTGGGGGAGGGAGGAGAAAAAGTCACCAGCCCTTTTAAGGGTGGCCATTTTGAATTCTGTTGTTCTCCGCAGCACACCTCCAACTGCCACGTGGCACACCGGTGTGCTACGGAACACAGTTTAAGAAACACTGTTCTAGGGCTTTCCTCCACCAGGTTTACCTTGGAGATATCTGAAGAGTGGCTATGTGGTCCACCAATGACACATTTATGAAGCATTATGCAATTTTTGCAGACTTAAATAAATTACACTTTTGTGGCTTCTGCAGTTCTATCTACTGTTATAAAACCATAAATCCGAGGCCTCCCTCCACTTATACTGAGTACTGCTACACATTCACCTACAATGGCACACCCATGGGGATATCACTCGAAGAAGAGGAAGTTACTCACCTTGGTGCAGTAACAGCAGTTCTTCAAAATGTGTGTCCCCCTGGGTGCTCCAATAACCCGCCCCCCTCCGTGTCTCACACCCCTCGCAGCCACGCCCTGACAGCCCTCGCCAGCCTCTCCCTGTTCAAGACATCCCTCGCTGGCCATGTCCCACAACACTTCACCAGCTGTGCCCTACCCCCAATGCCCCTCATCAGCCTCTCCCTGCCCTTGACACCCCTCGCTGGCCACACCCTGATACCCCTTACCCCAACGCTGCTCACTGGCCACACCCTACCCCCAACAGCTCTCGTCTGCCTCTCCCTGCCCCCAATACCCCTCGTCAGCCACACCTCGACACCGCTCACCTCAATGCCCCTTGTCAGCCTTTCCCTGCCCTCAACACCCCTTGCTCGTTAGCCTCTCCCTGCCCTTGACACACCTTGCTAGCCACACCCCAATGCCCCTCACCAGCCCCCTCGCCAGCCTTGCCCCCAACACCCCTCGCTAGCCACATCCCAATGCCCCTCGCCTCGATGCCCCTCACCAGCTGCACCCTACCCCCGATACCCCTCGTCAGCCTCTTCCTACCCCTGATGCCCCTTGTCTGCCTCTCCATGCCCCCTAACACCTCTTGCTGGCCACTCTTCAATGCCCCTCATCTCGACGCCCCTTGCCAAACTCTCCCTGCCCCCAACACCCCTCGCTAGCCTCTCCCTGCCTCCGACGCCCCTTGCCCCAACACCGTTCACTGGCCATCCCCTTCCCCGACACCTATCAGCCTCTCCCTGCTCTTGACGCCCCTCAGCAGTCATGCCCTGATACCCTTTACCCCAACACACCTCACCGGCCATGTTCCGCCCCTGATGCCTTGGCCACTCAGCCCAGACACACCTGGACACCCTTCGCCAGCTGGCCCAGACACCCACCTGTTGGTCACTTGCTTGGCTGGTTTTACCTGGATGCCAGGAGTCTGGCCTCTGCTAGTTAGCAGCACCTGGCCATTGACACAAGCTTGGGCTACCCACTCTCCCTGGTGGAGCTGGGGCTCTGTGGTGATGGGAAGGTGGTGGCCACACCATGGGACACATGGGAGGACCCCAGGGACCAGCTCTGTCCCCCACCATAAACTTGCTTCTTGCAGTCCAGGGCAAGGGTGGCTGTACTGCAGTCACCAGCTAGGCCCAGTCCCCGGTAACTGCTAAGGAGCCTACTGGGAGGGGGGCTGTCATGGCCAGCGGGTCAGGCTGGGAGGCCCATCCACTTGGGGTGGGGAGCTGATTTGTAGGTGGTCTGGCTGCACAGTGTTAAGCGGGAAGGGTCCTGGGCAGTTCCCCCTGCTCTCACCCTTGGAGCCAGGACTCCAAGGTCCTCTCTCCAGTTCTGGGCTACCATCTGCCCTGATTACCATGGGAGGAGGCAAAAGGGGTCTGGAGCAGGGCACACTTGGGGCAGAGTCCGTGCACTGCAGGGGGCACTGCCCACAGCTCAGCTCCCTTCCCCCAATGCTCAATTCCTGAAGAGCTTGGTGCCCACCAGGCATTGGGTCACTGTCTCCCAGCCTGCGCCTCTTGCCCTTCATCACTCCTGGGGAAGGTGGGGGGTCATGAGCCCCCCACAAGGGTCCCACCTCATCCTCAGTGTTGTGGGGCTAGAGCCTCTCACCTATTTATTACCTGATTAAAGAGGGTGGTGGGACGGTGTCACCCACGGCTCATCTGTGTGTGTGTCTAGGGAGAGGAAAGTGAAGGAGAGAGGCTGCCAGCCTCCATGCCACATGCTGCCCAGCACCCCCCAGACAGGGCGTGCCAGAGATATTACCTCTGCCCAGTCCCCTGCAAATGTTCCTACCCCTGCCCCGCTGCCCCATATTCATTGTTCCTATTATTCCTACTCCTGCCCCATCCGTACAGTTCCTATCCCTGCTCCACTGAACTTCCCACCATTCCTACCCCTGCTCCGCTAGCCCACATGCACAGTTCCTGCCCCTGCCCCCCACCTACGCCATT